TCTTCTTCTTCTTCTTCTTCTTCTTCTTCTTCTTCTTCTTCTTCTTCCTCCTCCTCCTCCCCCTCCCCCTCCTCTTCTTCCTTCTTCTTCCTCTTCCTCTTTTTCTTCTTCAGTATCTTAGACTTCCATGTATTTGTTATTTAATACTGGAAGTATTCGGCATAAACTAGTTTAAGAAGAGATTCCTCGGTCATGCTAAAAGACTAATTGAAAAAAGAAAGGAAGGAAGAATACAGAAGTAGTGAGGCAGGGAGGAAGAATACAAAAGAAGGAAGAAAGGGAGGGAAGAAGGGAGAGAAGGAAGGAAGAATACAAAAGAAGAAAGAAAGGAAGGGAAGAAGGAAGAGAAGGAAGGAAGAATATAAAAGAAGGAAGGAAGGAAGGAAGAGAAGGAGGGAGAGGGAAGGAAGAATATAAAAGAAGGAAGAAAAGAAGGAAGAGAAGGAGGGAGAGGGAAGGAAGGAAGAAAACCAAAGAAGGAAGAAAGGGAGGGAGGGAGGGATTGAAACTAAGACCCTAATTTCATATCATCAGGAACAAAACTCTCCAGAAAGATCAACACATTAACAATGAAGGCAACCAATAACACATCACAATGAGATGGCTCTTCCTTTATTGGCTTAATCATCTTCCAGGAAAAGCTATAATTTAATTTACATCAAAATTGAACCAGAAAGGCAACCATCCCTCAATGCTTTGCAAATGATTGGATTAACATTCCTTCCTGGAAAATCTTCCTCGATGGGCTGAGTTTGATCATCCCGGTTAATTTGACTATGTATGATTCAATTAACCTGGTTTTGCCCATGATCAAAATTATAGCCTGGTTATGTAGATATGGTGCATGCAAAATAAACCAATTATATAAATATAAATAATATATAAATATTATATATAAATATATATAAATAAATAATATAAATAAATAAATGCTCTGTCTTACATATTGGCAAAAAAATCAGAAAATAAAATACAGGCTGAATAGTCAAGACCTTGTTGATGATCCAAACTCTGTCAAGGACCTTGGAGTACTCATCTCTAATGACCTAAGTGCTAGAGCCCACTGTAAGTACATAGCCAAAAAGGCATTAAGAGTTGTTAACCTAATCTTACGTAGCTTTTTCTCTGGTAATATTTCACTGATAACTAGAGCATACAAAACATTTGCTAGACCAATACTCGAATACAGCTCATCAGTCTGGAACCCACATTACATATCTGATATTAGCACAGTTGAGAAAGTCCAGAAATATTTCACAAGAAGGTTTCTCCACTCCTCTACTCGTTGCAGAATACCTTATGACACCAGACTCGAAATTCTAGACCTAGAAAACCTTGAACTACACCGCCTTCGGTCCGATCTAAGTATAGTATATAAAATCATACATTGCAATGTCCTACCTGTCAATGAATACTTCAGTTTCAACCATAACAACACAAGAGCACACAATAGATACAAACTCAAGGTTAACTGCACCAAACTTGATTGCAGGAAATACGACTTCAGCAATAGAGTAGTCAGTGTCTGGAATATTCTACCTGACTCTGGTTTCTTCCCCAAACCCCAAAAACTTTAACCTTAGACTGTCTACTATTGACCTCACCCCTTTCCTAAGAGGTCTGTGTGCATAAGCGCACCAACGTGCCTACCGTCCCTGTCCTATTGTTTCTTTTTATTTTTCTTATATATATATCCATTTCATGTATTCATAACTATGTTATACTTATACCTGTTATCTTATAATTGCTTGACAAAATAAAATAAATAAAAAATAAATAAAAATAAAGACAGGATTACAGCCAGCGACGGATTGTGTTGTTTCTCTTGGTTATTCAAACACACACCACATACTAAGGACTTATTCCAAATTGGCCTTCCTGATGAGATATGAACCAAGGCAATTAACACCTCAAGAATTCAACTTGGGTAGCATGAAAAACTGAGGCCACTTACTTTCCTTCTTTCTTTCTTTCTTTCCTTCCTTCCTTCCTTCCTTCCTTCCTTCCTTCCTTCCTTCCTTCCTTCCTTCCTTCCTTCCTTCCTTCCCTCCCTCTCTCCCTCGTCTCTCTCCCTTTCTTTTCCTTTCTTCATTCCATCTCCTTTCCTCCCCTCCCTTCCTTCCTTGTCTTCCCTCCTCCCCCCCCTCTCCCTTTCTGTTCCTTCCTTCTCTTTCTTCCCTCTCTCTATTATTCCCTTCCTTCCTTTTATTTCCTCCCCCACTCCCTTTCTTTTTCTCCCTTCCCTCCATTATTCCTTCCCTTCCTTCCCTTCTTCTATTTCTTTCCTTCCTTCCTTCCATCCCTTTTATTTATTTAGTTTAGTTTGTCAAGCATGTATGAGAAAACAAGTAGAGGTATGAACGTAACATACAAACATATAAGTACAAACAGGTATAAGTATACACATAATAAATTAGTATGAATAAATGGGGACAGTAGAAATTGCATGCTGATGCAATTATGCACGCCCCCCTTACAGACCTCTTAGGAATGGGGGTGAGATCCACGGTAGACAGTTTGAGGTTAAAGTTTTGGGGGTTTGAGGATGTATGCCCCCCCTGTCTCCCCGTCTCTCACCCACCCTCCTTCCCTTCCCTTTTTTCCCACCCTCCCTCCTTCTCCTTCCCCATTCGCTCTTTCTCCTTGGCCTGCCCTCCTGCCCAGTGCTGCCAAGGGCCACCCCGTGTGTTGAAGCCATACCTGTACACGTAAGGCCCCCGCTGCTGGACAATTGGCTTGGCACCTAGAAGGATGTCCTTGGAATTCATCACCTCCATAAAGTAGAAGGAAATGAAGAAGGGCACCGGGAGTTCTTTCCACAGGGTGAACATGGCACTCTTGGGATCGATTATGGTATTCTGCAATTGTAAACGGACAGGGGTCAGAACCGACAGCTAATCATTACCGACTGGTTAACAGATTAACAGAGTTGGAAGGGTTGGTCATCTAGTCCAAGCAGGAGACCTTGCTTCTGAAGGCAAGTCGTTCCGTTCGATATAGAATAATAGAGTTGGAAGGGACCTTGTAGGACATCTAGTCCAACCCCCCACGCACCCAAGCAGCAGACCCTACACCATTTCTAACAGATGGCAATCCGATCTCTTCTCGAAAGCCCCCAGTGATGAAGCTCCCACAACTTCTGAAGGCAACTTCTGTTCCATTGAATATAGAATAACAGTTGGAAGGGACCTTGTAGGACATCTAGTCTAACCTCTCCCCACCCAAGCAGCAGACCCTACACCATTTCTGACAGGTGGCAGTCTGGACTCTTCTTGAAAAGCTTCCAGGGATGAAGCTCCCACTACTTCTGAAAGCAAGTTGTTCCCTTCAATATAGAACACCAGAGTTGGAAGGGACCTTGTAGGTCATCTAGTCCAACCCTCACTTCCCAAGCCAGCAGACCCTACACCATTTCTGACAGATGGCAGTCCGGTCTGTTCTTGAAAAGCCTGCAGGGGTAAAGTTCTCACAACTGATTTGAAACCAAACCTGTGAGGAAACACGAGTTTACGCAGTACATTCATTCACTCCTTTTCACTGGAAAAACAGGCACACCTCTGATGTTTTTCTCCTTTCTTCATCATGCTACATTGCTCCCTGGTTAATATTCAAACTGCAGGTACTCCTTGACTTACGACCACAACCTGAGCCCGAATTTCCAAGTGAGGCTCTTGTTAAGTGGGTCACACCCGATTTCACCACCTTTTTTTGCCATGGTTGTTAAACAAAAAAACACTGTGGTTGTTAAGTGAATTATGTCATTAAGTGAATCTGGCTTCCCTCCCCATGGACTCTGCTGGTGGGAAGCCAGCTGGGTAGGTCACATATGGAGACGGGATGCTACAACTATTGTAATTGGTTGCCAAGCACCCAACTTTGGGGGATGTTCATAATAGATAACAGATATTCAGAGTTGGAATGGACACTTGTAGGTCATCTAGTCCAACCCCCTGCCCAAGGTGGTCATAAATATGAGGACCTGCTGTGAGTCACTTTTTTCCCCACAGTGCTGTTGCAAATTTGAACAGTCACTAAAGAAATAGCTTGTAAGTCAAGGGCTACCCATATTTACATCGGTTTTTTTGTTTTTAAAGCCAACACTTGGAAAAAAAAACCCAGAATTAACCTCCAGAGATGTCCGGTGTCACCGGCTTATCACCCGTGACCTCCATTGCTGCACGGATTTTGGCTCCTTGCTTCTGTTTCGTGCTTCTGGCTGTTAACATCAGTGTGATTCACACAGTCCTGAGAGGATTGTAATTTGACTAAGTGTTTTAATTATTAGTTAAGGCTTTTCCTAAGGGAGGGAATTCCCCCTTTCTCTTGAAACAGGCTGTTCATCTACTGCTTTGAAATCCTGCCCCGAGGGCATGCTTTTAAGTTAGGGGGAAAAGGCACCGATTTTACCGGGTTCAGCGCCTCGTGTGAAAAAGCCAATTATGGTGCATTATCCCAAATGATTCGATTCGCTCCCGCTGCGGTGCCAAAAGCCACCACAGTCACGTCATAAACGCTTACCGGTGCTGTGTTAGAATGTATGCAAGTAAATCTTGGAAGTGGAGGTTTAAAAAACTCCACATTTTCTCGTCTATGGAGATTCTCCGTCATCCAGAACATGGTTGTCCCAAAGGTGCTTTTTTTTTCAAGAGGCAATTGGACTTTCTGGTTTTTCTTTGAAGACATTTCACTTCTCATCCGAGAAACTACTTCTGCTCTTGCTAAAGAAGCTTCTCAGGTGAGAAGCGAAACGTCACAAAATACCCATCGAAAAATACACATCGAAAATACACATCGAATCAATTTATTTACACATCGGGTTCACCTTTCAGGAAGTTTCCCTGAAATCCACCACAAGTCTCAAAATGTTCTGAACTGTCCAGAAAGCAGAATTTGTCCCCAAACATGATGCTAAAATAGGCCAGACTGGTTTGTGGTTTGTGGTTTTGTGCTCGCTACAGACCCAAACCTGGAAGTGCGCTTAACCGTCTCTGATTCAAGGCAAGGAGAAACTGGGGATCTGCAAACAGATATGCTGGACTCCCTTATTTATCCATTTGCAGGGGTCACGGACCATTGGGTATTTGTGATGGTTGCAGGATCCCAGGATTATGGGATCCCCTCTTGCAACCAACGAGAAGGCCAGGTTCACTTAACAACCTCATTATGCCATTTTAACAACCACAACAATTTGCTTAACGGTGGCGAGAAAGAGGGGGGCTAATCTCCCTGAGCAAAGGCCTTGCTTAGCGACAACATTGGGCTCAAATTGTGGCCGTTAAGTCAAGGACTAGCTGTGCAAGCAACAAGTGCAAGGAGACCTGTCCTTACAACCCTCTTTACAGCCTGAAATGATGGTCATTAGAATAGAATTAGAATTAGAATTAGAAGAAGAAGAAGAAGAAGAAGAAGAAGAAGAAGAAGAAGAAGAAGAAGAAGAAGAAGAAGAAGAAGAAGAAGAAGAAGAAGAAGAAGAAGAAGAAGAAGAAGAAGAAGAAGAAGAATTAGGATTAGAATTATGAAGAATCGAATCTAACAGAAGAGAAGAGAAAAGATTAACAGAGCTGGAAGGGACCTTGTAGGTCATCTAGTCCAACCCCCCGCCCAAGCAGGAGACCCTACACCATTTCTGACAGGTGGTAATCCAGTCTCTTCTTGAAGGCTTCCAGTGATGAAACTCCCACAACTTCTGAAGGCAACTTCTGTTCTCTCACAGTTGATTGTTCTCACTATCAGAAAATTCCTCCTTATTTCCAGGTTGAATCTCTCCTTGTTCAGTTTCCATCCATTATTCCTTGTCTGGCCTTCGGGTGCCTTGGAAAATAGCTCAACCCCCTCCTCTCTGTGGCAGCCCCTCAAATATTCGAAGGCTGCTCTCCTGTCTCCCCTGGTCCTTCTCTTCCCTAGACTAGCCAGGCCCAGTTCCTGCAACAGTTCTTCATGTGTTTTAGCCTCCAATCCCCTCATCATCCTGGTTGCTCTTCTCTGCACTCTTTCTAGAGCCTCAACATAATTAAGTGGAAAGCGTGCGAGAACACGAGAAAGCAACTCAGCAACTTGACTTTTTTGGGCAGAAGATAAGAGGCTGAATCAGCCTACACATTCATGCCACTCTCTCTTAATCTTTAACGTCTCCAAGAGTCCTTGCCTTGCCTGTTCTTGCCTGTTCTCTTGGCCTATAGGCGGTTATCTCCGAGTTTGCTGGACAAATGGTCCACCCATAATCAAACCGCCAGAACCACAGGTTTAACCAAGTTCTGGATTACCCAATATCAGTTGCAATCCCTTAGCCTCAAGCAGGTTGCAACTTGAATTCTGCCAGTGGGTCATTATCAGAGTATATTCACGAACTGTAATAGAGCTTGGTGACAAGGTCAAGCCAAGGAGAGCTGAATTGAGGGTTGAAACTTAAAGAGAGAATCAGGCCGTGGTTTATCTCTGTTCTGTGCTCAGCTCTAAAGTGAAAGAGAAACTAACTTGCTTGCTTGCCGGCTGAACTAAAGTGAAACTGAGGTCCGTTCCTGAGCTCCTGAGTTGCTGTTCTCCTCTGAACCTGTAACATGTCTGCTTCTGTTTGAGTTTGCTCCATGTTGGAGAAATCTACAACTGGTAGTGTAAAATTTACTTTATATGATTATAAAGAAGTTAAATGAAGCCTCAGCCATCTGTGTTTACTCTTCTGGTACTGAATGTACGCTGCAATACTCCAAACAGTCATTGTGTTGCCAAACACCTTGCCCCAAATGTCCATTTCCTAGGGCGTTACAGGTAATATTTAGTTACTGTTTGAAGTTTCAACAGAACTGGGGGAAAAAATGACATGCGCAGATTAACCATGTTCTACACAGGCTGTTTTTCATCTCATTTGATACCAGAAAAGCAAGAGGAGGCCTCAGACGCAGCACCCAAAGCAAATATACGTGTTATATATATTATCCCTCGCAAGGAAGGCAAACCATCAATTTGACAAACCGCTTAAGATCGGCTTTTGATCTTTAAAAGATAGGAAATAAAACAAGACTATCACTCAGCTAGGCCAAAATCAGATATTTCCCTGTACAAGCAGTCCTTGACTTAATGACAATTCGTTTAGTGACCATTCAAAGTTACAACTGAAAAAAAGCGACTTATGGCCAGTGGTGGGATTCAAATAATGTAACAACCGGTTCTCCCCTAATGATTTCTTCCAACAACCAGTTCACCAAACTGCTCAGAAAGTTAACACCGGTTCTTCCGAACTGGTGTGAACTGGCTGAATCCCACCACTGCTTATGGCTGTTTTTCATACTTATTGCGACGACCCAAAGGGGCATGGCACAAGGGCAACACAATCAGATAATTAATAACAGTCCCTTTAGTAGCTCCAACTCTGCCCCCAATGTCCTGGTTACCTTCTGGCTGGAGAAAAACTCTCCCAGGAACAGCCTTTGGCTGCAGAGAATCAAGTCCAAAACATGGTCAACAAAAACTGTAACTATAAACCCAAACAAGGTAAAATGAGGCAAAATGAGGTAATTAGTCTGGCAGGGCAGGAGAAGGAATTCCAGATGTGAAGGCATGGTAATAACTCAACATAGTTGGGAGGATGCCAGGAACGCAGATAACCAAAGTCAAGATAAAATAAGCATGTTTGTTCCCAGCAGGCGCTGCACTCAACATGCATCTCTTTTAAACTCTCTTCCCAGATGTGGCTAATGTAGGGAATCAGGGCCCTTTCCTCCCTCGTAAATCATACAACCCACGTTGCTCCCTTCTCTGTTGCTCCCTTCTCTGTTCCTCCCTGCGTGCCCTAGGATGAAGAGGGGGTGGGCCTGGGTCTTCCTCTGAACTCCCTCTCCCTTGTTTACCTCTCCCCTGCTCT